TTTGGGGGGTGTCATGTCGATCGATCGAAACTGACGATACTAACAATAGATAAAAAGACTGCTGATGAGCGAAGGGGAGAAACCTTGCTTTAAACAAATATCAAATATTTGTACAGAAGATTCCTTGCAGCTAGAGATGGTATTGGATTTCCTGGGTCCAGAATTGAGACACCCAGACATCCATTTCTGTGCCCTTCCCTCTCGGGTGAGTCGGACAAATTCAGAGCTGCTTCTTTAGAGCTGCCCGGCATCTTACCCACCCTCAGAAAGTGCCAACATTTCATTCGTGATGGCGAAAGTTTAATGAGCCAGTATTAACCCTTTAAATACGAGGCACCGTTCTGAGCTTGTTGCTCGACGAAACTCACAGTTTTATCTAAAAACTCGATGGTTTTAGGGTTGTTGATTTTTTAAAAAAGATTTTGTATTATTTAGTATCTCCGTTTAAAAGAAAGAATCTTACATTTCTTTCTTAGCCAGTTTGTATCGAAAATTTCGTTTCGGTACCATAACCAATTTGATTCATATTTTGATTGAGTCGGGGCAAATCAGATTTTCTGTCATGGAGGAGACAAAAGCTATCATTTTGGTATAAGACGAACTTAAACTAAATTCGACTGTGACCTTGAAAATCAAACACGTTCGTTTTTCAAGTCGAGAGTCGTATTGGGCGTGTTGTACCAAAATAGCAGTTTTCGTCCCTTCATGAAGGAGCATCTGGCTAGTCCCGACTGAACCAAATGAATCCGATTAACAATGTGCACTGTGTATACCAGACATGATTTAGGCATGGCGAGATTGTTTCCTGAAAAAAGAAAAACAACTCCCGTCTCGTCGTGTTCACGTAGTAACAATGACGTGAAATACTTGGGCAATCCAAGATAACAAAGACTGTAGGGTACATTGAAAAAACAAAAACAAAGAGCAATTCAATCACATTGGAAGTCTGCACACTAGGTCATTGATACGCACTCAGTCTTAATGCGTTTCTCGTAGAGAGGTTTTTTTCGCTCATTCTCTCTCTCTCTCTCTCTCTCTCTCTCTCTCTCTCTCTCTCTCTCTCTCTCTCTGCATGTGTCCGTGAATATGTGTGTGTGTATGTGTGTGTGTGTGTGTGTGTGTGTGTGTGTGTGTGTGTGTGTGTGTGTGTGTGTGTGTGTGTGTGTGTGTGTGTGCGCGCGCGCACGCGTGTGTTTTCCAATTTGGGAGATTCAGGGTTAAACCGAGAATACGCCCGAGATTTCCTCGCTTCGGAAATTGTTATTTGCCGTCAACAGTCTTGATGGCAGTGAGTTGAGATAGAACAAACGAGAGAGCATTTCCAACACCCGTCGGGCTGCGATTCCTTCTATCGGTGCTCCGGGCCAGTTTGTCCTGTGAAATTGCTTAAACCGCATTGTTCTCTCTTCTGGGAAGCACACAGACTACTTTTCACATTTGTCTCTCTTTCTTTGTCCTAATTATTTCTTGCCCTCTTTCTCTCTCGCTCTTTCACTCTCTCTCTCTCTCACTCTGTCTCTCTCTCTCTCTCTCTCTCGCTCTCTCTCTCTCTCTCTCTCTCTGTTTGTGTGTGTGTGTCTCTCTCTCTGCTTCTCTCTCTGTCACCCTCTCTGTCTTACTCTTTGTCTCTGTCTCAAGCACACACAAACACACACACACACACACAATATATGCGAGTGTATATATACATATATATAATCAATATATACATATATATGTAAACCATATTTTATATATATACATATATACATGATGTATTATAATATGAGTATGTGAATAGGTCAAACTTTATATTATCTATCTATCTATCTATCTATCTATCTATCTATCTATCTATCTATCTATCTATCTATCTATCTATTTGTCCCAGATCCTCGTGCCGTCTTTTTTCATTATGTTTATTTTACTTTCATTTTTTTAACTCTTTCTATATTATAGAATGAATCATCATCATCATCATCA